CGAGGGAGCATCGTCGTCCAGGCTATCGCCCCTGTGGTAGGTGTGGTACGGGTACCCAGACATGGCTGACAACGATTGGGACTCACCAGAAGAGACAAAGCGAAGCAAACTGAGGAATTCGGGTAGACTAGACGAAGTGCGCGACCTCAGAATCCGAAGACAGCAAGATGGTGTGGGAGAAAGCGAGGCCCAAGGGGTCCCCCTATTTATAGTCTCCACCCTTCCAAGTTGACGGTCCGGATCAAGACAAATCCAACGGCCTGCGGGCGCCCTGACCGCATGCCTTCTGAAAACCGAAGGTGATTGGTGGCACGTCTTCCGTAATTAAGGTAATCGCGGCCGCACGACGTTCGGAGTTAAAAGCCACCTCAACAAGTTTTCGGAATCCGAAAAGTCAGGAAAGTCAAAAAATCTCTTGATTCCCGCAAATGCATTTAATGTGGGTAGTCAATCAAGTTTGAATTTCGGTCAAATCAGTCCAGCGCGCTTTACAAACTCCCTGCACTAAGGCAGTGCTCTTAGCCCAAGGAGTGGGGGGCAATTGATGGAGGTGATTTGACCCCACCTATGAAACGGTGACACATGGACACTGAATCAGCACGAGCGATAACTCAGCGTTGTAATCTGGTACGACCAAGTGATGAGCCTACAAAGCAGCTCGCTACATTGTAGCTCACAAAAGGAGTTCGCCACGACGCGAACCCTGGGCTCCCCGAGCTACCTTTGAAGAGATACTCCAAGGCAATTGTAGCTCGCAAGCTAAAGTCATTAGCTCGTCCGAGCTCCCAAGCAGACAAGCTATCCCTAGGGCCAATTCTACTAAGGGTAACCCTGGAGTGTTCCAAGTTCGCTACAGAATAGCTCGCGAATGAACCACACGAGCACGCCCCAGGAAGTTTCCGACTGACAGACCGTACTGGTCAGACTGCGCCATATCCCTTACTGACGGCGCAGTCCTAGTCCTTTCGGCAGTCTGCATCCATGTCTCACAGCAGGCAAGGGTGTGCCTGTCACTCCGGAGACGTGTCATTCACCCGGGCGAGACGTATGCCACAACGGCCACCTGCGCAGCCCTGGCAGGTAACGGCTGTGGCAGGAGCCCAGTGGCGGTTATACCTGACCTGACGTAAATGTCCCTATAAAAGCCCTCAGGGCAGAAGAGAAACTTCTTCTTGAGACCTCTAATCTCTCAAGTATAGTGAGAGCGTGCTATCTGCACTCTTAGCCTTCGTCTCCTTCTTGCTTCTCCTACGTAATACTAACTTAAGCATCGGAGTATCCCCACCGGGTAAACTCCCTGGGGATTCTTCTTCTTCCTCATCTCAGGTACCTTCCAGGAGCCACGTGAGTGCCAGCTAGGAGTGACCGGATCGCGCTAGATGTGAGAATTAGTAGGCATTGTGGGTTAAGCCTTCCCCAGTTGTTGCTTGTCAGGAATAATTCTCTACCTGAGACCGAGTCTTCCACCTTTAAAGATGTTGACCTGCGAGGTTTTCCCAAATGCTTCCTATCAATTAGAATTAGAATTCAATCTGAAAGTTTGTTTCCCAAGGCTTCATCTTCATCAGGCTGTGTAGGAGATGAAGCCTAATAGTTTTGAAAGTCAAGGGTACTTTGAGAGGCGGGTGCCAAAGAAGAGTCCATCATCTTATCATCTGAATGATCCCAATTTCATCTTCTTCAAGGTTCGAGTGGTGGTGATGGTGGGTCGCGATTCCTTGACAAGGAGACGCATACAGATCGTGCTTTTGATTATGGGTATGGGTGGTATGGGAAATCTAACTTGTATTTGTCAAGGTTATGGAAGAGAACTAGTAGTTGTTCTGTAACAAGATCAACAAATTGTTCTCTTTATTTATTTAAAGAAAGTGGAAGATCACAGAGAGTGGCAAAGTGTGTTATCTTATCTCTTGCAGGTTAAGATCACAGACGGTGTTAACATAAAAGATTTACTCATATTGGCCGCGAACAATGGATGCAGCTGTGCATCTCAGAATAATTCATAGAGGACCCATGACAAAACAGTAAGGAAATTGTAGAACATTATTTGAAGTAGCTCATAAACAGAAGATCAATGCAACTGACACTACCTTAGAAGTTTAATGTTTCTCTCCTGTCAGACTCTTTTCTGTATCCATCCACAGTTGAAGGTAAAATATGTACTGATAAATCTATGTAAGTCATTTATATTTGTTCTCTATTATACAATTGAATCATGGCTATTCCTTATCCTCGACCGTCTCTTGAAAGTGGATGGAATCAACCCACTGATTTAATCTCTTGGTGTTATTTTTTGCAAATATTGCTACACAGACATGTAAATTTATAAGTTACTTGATATTGATACTTTTGTGAGAATCGAATCTGTTCTTGGTATGGTTGCATCTTTGTTCAGAACCATTCTCTTAGATTTACAAATTCTGCTGAGGAGGTCTCACCCAAGATTTAATCAAATTGGGGGTGTTCTGACATTTTTTTCTTTCCCAATAAAATATTGTTAACAGTACAGAAGAAAAGGATCTGATCATAGAGTTAAAATCAACCTATCAAGAGATCTTTCACACTGAAAAGAAACATTTACAAACTTGTTTCTACATTGGCCTTTCTCAAGGTATACAGAAATGGTGCTTGATTACAGTTTTCCTCCTAAAACCATCAGCACACTAACACAAAAATTAATCTTGGGATATTTCTATTGCTATAATCCGGTGTCAGTGTACTTCGCTACCTAGCATGACCCTGTCCAAATGGGTGGATGCAATTTCTCAGAGGTTGACATTATCTTTTTGGGTCAAATGGTTTGTTTGGAGTCTGGACCACAAATTGACCCTATATTAAAATGGATTTCAGACTATTTTTTCAGTGGTTGTTTAATATGATTCAAGTGATCTAAAGATTGAATGCCAAAGTTTCCAATCTTTCTCTGTAAAATGAATGGAGAGTTTTAGATTAAAATAGTTCAGCTATTATTTCTTCTCTTTTGCAGTGAATACTTTGTTTTGCACCCCTTTTAATTTGCTTTGATGTAAATGACATGTGGACATATTTCAATTGTTGAAGAGGTGAAAATATAGCTTCAGTACTTCAGCATGAAAGTTTTCATACTCTGGTTAAAGGACAATGCATCAGGTGCAATTTGGTTGGCTACTTTGCCCTTTTCTCCAGATGTATGTTAGCCCAATGGCAGCCATTCATTAAGATTCACCCTTGAAAATTACAGGGCCATTACCCAGTGATGGTCCTGGCCATCCGCCGTCTTGGGATGGGTAGATTAGTTGGAAACCTAACCTTTTGCATAAAGTAGTCTATCTCGTACTCGAACCAACATTCTCACACTTGTCAGTCTGAGATTTTACCAATGCACCAAGTAATGGTCCTTGCAACATATAAGACATGGGAAAAGAAGAAATTCATCCAATTCTCAATGCCTGCATTTGTGTTAGGCTGTGTTTGGATCGTTTGAAAATAAGAAAGAAACAGAAAGTTGAGGAAAACCGAAGACGGACATATATTTTTTATCCAGCTTGCTTTGGCTAGACTATCAGCCACACAATTAAGATCTCTAGGGATCCACCTGAAACAGCAACGTAAGGAACAAGTAGTTTCTTTAATCTCATGAGAATACTGTTAAATCTCCATGGCCATCTTCGGTGGTGGTGGAAGGAGAGTCTGGGAATGTGATCGGATGGATGAATGCTTGTTAGAGTTTATCTGATTTTTTTGCTTTTGATGTTGAACTCAGCAACCGGTTCAGTCAGATGATTGTCTAACTCATATAAGCAACTAGAAAGAACAAGGTTAAGAAGTGCAACAGTTGGGAGGAGATTTCTGGGTGTAAGATTTAGAGTTAATATTGCTACAAAGCTGTGACATGACTTGTATGACATGAGTGTGGAGTTATTTTAAAGCAAAAGCAATTAAAACAACATCAAATGGAATTACTAGGAATGACTTCTTTCTTCCCTGATTTCCACCTGCAGTTTGCCAAGCAGCTGCAAATTGAATTCAAGAAGAAAATTAAGTATTCGACTAATCAACAGAGGTATCCTCCCACTTCTACTAGTTCAACAGATTGGATGATCTCCTCATCTGTTGATTCTTTTAGCGAGCCATTTAAATAAAATATGGAACAAATATGGTAGAGTTGGGACCATCTGCTTGTCTAAATTTGCAGCTGCCTGGTTACATCAACTGAAGCCGCAAGTAGGCTTCCTTCATGGTCAACAGTCTCTTCAGCAGATTCTTTGATATGGATTTTCAAATGGTCTAAATAAGGGCTACCTGAGGCGGGCCCAGATTGACCCTCTTTGCCTACTGAATTATTTTCCATTGTTCTAATCCTGGTCGCCAAGATTGACCCTCTTTGCATCGTCTTCTGCAAGACTTTTGGAAGGAACTCAACTGATCATTTTGTCCGATAAACCACAAATGAATAACCATAATCATCTTAACAAGTTCTTAAAAATTAAGCACTGGGGCATTAAGGCAGTGTTTGGTACTGTGATTTTCGTGATGTGTGGTGTGTGTTTGGATCTACTGGGCCCCACTATGGAGTGGTTGAAAATTGAAATCGGTTTTTTTTTCTGTAAATATTCATATGGTTTCAGCCACTTACAATTTGCACTGTGGTGTGGATGTATTGTCAGCAAAATTTTAAATAAAATGTCTTGGTCATTTTTTAGTAATATTAACCATTTATCACAATAATCATTAAATCTACCATGGTGTGGACTGATCCACAAGATTTTGTTGTGGAACCCTGGTCTCACGCTACACCTTCAAAGTTCAAACAAACAACATTTGGGTGTACCATGGATTGAAACCAATGAAAATTACACCATGAGTTGCTCGAGAATGGGCTGGTCTACAAACATGTCTTCCGTGAAGCAATTCAAGCTGCTGACTAGCTAGCTCATGATGTAATTTCTATTAATCTTTGTACTGGTCTTATCCGAGAAATGTTGGATTTAAAACATCTCAGCCAAATCTAGATCCATATGTATATGGATGGATAAATAGGTTCTGGTGTTAGTCAAATAAAACTCCAATCCAAGGTTGGAAAAGGGTTGATATTGATACATGAAGTCATGAACGAGGTTAATATGGATTGCAGGGCTCTATGGCCAATGTAGAGGGTTCTCTATCTGATGAAACAGTCTGGATTGTCTCCAAGATTCTTCCATATGGTTAAAATAGAATAGGAGGGAAGTTCCCTAGTTGACCCAATTGGGGAACCTTCTCCGAGTGGATCTCCTAAAGATGAACCACATGTTGGTGGTCTCAGTTCACATCTGCTAATGGGCAAGATCAGCTCCACCAGATTGGTTGATGAGAACAATTATTTCTCTCTTTCTTTTTTCCTGGACAAGTAATTATTTTGTGATTCTCCTATTGTCGCTTTTTATGCCTCTGGCAGAAGGATCTTATCCTCCCCATGGCATCTTCAAGGGAAGATGGCTCGACTGCGAATGTTATCCGTAGCCAATTTTTCATTCCAACAGCGATTCCTGCAATAAATGTTAATTACAAAGTCATTAATCAAATAATATGGACTAACTACTAACTGGCTCTTGCAAACTCTGAAACCAGGAAAAAGCATAGAATCCAACATTATGCCCAAAGAGAATTGCATAGACACTTGACTTAACCATGTATATGGTTATCTATGCATCACCATGAACCACACAACCTATTGTACAAAAGTGACTGTTAATCCTCAACTTCATAACCAGTCTTTACCCTCTGGCCTCTGCAATGTTAAACCTATGACATAATAATCACTGATGATGACTTTATGGCCCTCTAGCCAACAGCCTTTGTCATGTATTCTATTTGCAGCTTTGTTTTGGTCCTAGCTCATCCAGTATCTAAAGACCATCAACACGTAAAGGACTATATACCATCTGTTTGATTAACACTTGTATATCAATCAAACATTGGTAAATGCAAAGAAAGAGCAAAAAATCATTCTACACATGGTTGTAATGTTCTAAAACAGGATCTGATGGAGAATGCTGGTAAATCTGGTGCATCGTTGTCACATTTTGATCTGGAATTTCCAAATGGAAAATACAAACAACGAACCTATAGCATATTCTGGTTTGACAGCAATTCTTCTGGTAAATCTGGTCCTGCAATTGGAGATCACCTCTAAGGTAGAGATGACATCATTTTTTAGTCTTTTTTATGGTTCAAAATCTAAATGTAGAGATGTAAGTTCCAAGAAGAGGTGATGGTCTTGCCTTTCTATCCTTTGAGGATTGACAGCTCTCAATTCCCATCAATTGGTGGAATGGGATTCGACCAACTCCATCAGCCAGGGCAATGGAATCAGGAAGGGTCTCTAGAAATTACAAGGAAGAGGTGATGGTCTTGCCTTTTTATCCATTGAGGATTGACAGCTCTCAATTCCCATCAATTGGTGGAATGGGATTCAACCAACTCCATCAGCCAGGGCAATGGAATCAGGAAGGGCCTCTAGAAATTACCTCACCTGCTTAATTAGATAATGCTTGTGACCTCTTGGAACCATTTTCTTTTGAGATGGATTCCTGGGGAGTTTTGACTGGGCTGATGAGTTTGATAGATCTGATGTTCAAGGGTGGACATATATAGTGAGTCCCAATTACCAATGCAAAGTTTATAAGAAGTACAAATTGTTCCACTTACTTGGTCTCATGTTTGTTGGCTGATTTCCACCTTGTACCTTTTTTCCTTTTACTTTTTCTTCTTAAATTGATAATAGATGAAGTTATTAGTAAGTTCAAGAAAGAGAGGTAGAATTGTCTAATTGCACAAGGTAGTGATAGACCAAAAAGGAATGCCAAAAGGAGTGCAAAGCTTTTGAAGCCTTCGGAAGATGTTAAATGGCCCCTAAAATGAGCTTCTACATGTCTTCTAAGAGTCTCAGGGATCCAGCATTACATAAATTTGCAATTCTACCTTCACAAAGCAAATGTGTGGGTAACAATAGTTATAGACAAAGCTGACAGAAGAATATGAAGCAGTGCCAAATCATGTTTCACACATTGAAGCACAGTTGTATGTCAGCAGGAAAGTGAGATCAACCTCCTTCAGTACATGAGTCGTGTGCACAAAAACAATGGTCTGGAGGCAATTATAACAATGCCTCTAGTAATTAAGATTGAAAGGCAGATATCCAGTCTTAATGTGAATGCATTCTGAAAAAGTTGGCATATTTTCCTCACCTGGCAGAACAATTACAGATTCCTCTTTAGCCAGCTTGTAGCAGAAGTCTATATCATCATTAATATCTTCTAGAAGTGACACATTCAATTTCACCTGTGTTATGAAAGTACAAGTAAGAATATCTCCAACAGCCCCTTTATTTTCAAACACAGCCCAGGTATTTGTACATCCTCACCATTACAAACATGGAACCCTCAGGTCTTTGTGGGCAAGTAATGCAATCAATCTCCTTTATTTTCTCAAAACAAATTTCTGAAGTTTGCCTCAGTATACTAGCAATCTTCTTAAAGAAATCTTCTTGTGTTTTCCCAAGGATTTGTGGAAGTGCACCCTATTACATCAAAGATTTTGTTATACAACATACAACATAGAAGAAATGAAGATAAGATAATGACCCCATTGTCATGCTTAACTTATTGAAAATTTTTAGCCGATGTTTCATCTGTATAAGAAACTATGAATATAGTTGCCAGAATCATAGTGTCATGGTAAGTGAAAAGTGAACAGCTAAGGGGCATGCTAGATGCAACAAATATTAGTGTTGATGACCAGTTGTTTGAATTGTTTGATACAACAATCACAAAGAAGAAAGTGCCACCCCTTGTCATCAATAATTACACAAATTTATTGAAAAGATAAATGAATGCAAAAAGAAGGAGCCTAGTCAACCTAGAGTAAGCATACCCAAACATACAAAATATCCCCAGAAAACAAAACTTTCCCTGCAGATATCATTTCAATGTGTCCAAGGAATTGGGACACTTAAGAAATAGGTATTCATCATGAAAACCAAAAACTTTAGCCTCTAATTTGGATCAATGAAGAATGGAGAAAGAGATGCAATTGCACAAGGAAGCTTGATAAAATAGACCAAAATATATGCCTTTACCCTACAATAATCTCCTTTAACTGCATCTAAAAAATGACATAGCATATGGTGCTGTAGCGGTAGAAAGAACGGGAAAAAAATGAAAGCCCCTCCACACCAGTTGCACCTGATTTTTCAGCTGAATATCAATTATCAGCCATAATTGAGTTTGATGGCATTATGCATGAGAGGAAACTGTTGACACATGATTTACATTAGGGGGAGGAGGAAGGGGGGACTCCACTATCAAGGCTCAATCCTAAGACTAAGAGTCAGAATGTAGACCTCTAAAATTAACTAATGCACCACATTTATAATGGCAAAAGAATGATTAAGTTATCTTAGAAAAACAGGCACAACTATAGCTAATCATACTTGAGGAATGGAATTATGAATTCCTTATTGAACCCTTCATACCAAAATGAGGATGCACAAAATCCTAAATAGAGCTAAAATTGGGTTCTTAATGAATGAGGAAACAGACAACAAAAAGAATAATAGTGACTGGATCTTCTTGCACTTTTGACATTAGAATCAATTGGTTGGTATGGTTGCTCAAACTAGAACTAAAGTGTCTGTAGTCTGTATATACATAGATTAAAGTGGAGTTTACAAGTATCTATTAACCAATACTATAGCAATTAACCATTTTTTTAAGTCCTTCAGTTAAATAAATAATTTTGAGAGAAGGTAAAGCAATATTCATTAATAACAAAAATCCCTGTACAACAAGTGGATGTACGTATTGATCTTACAAAAAACTGCTCCTCCTTCTAAATAACTTATGACTGGCTAGCCAAGAATGTAGTTTTCCCATTATCTTCTGAAAAACAACTTCATCTAATAATTTCTTAGCTTTGAATATCCTTGAATTCCTCTCCTGTCACAAAACCCAAAAACACAGCTGCCGGAATCATAGTCCCTCTATCTATAAATAAATTTTGGAAAGGATGAGTTTAGATTGGTTTTCTCATAGTCCCTCTCTATCTATGAAATTGGGAGAAAAGTTTAGGAGTTTTCTCTGTATTGTTGGATAAACTAGGTGCCATGTCAGTTTAGGGCTCAAATAACATGCCACTCCAGGACTAAGATTTGAAGTAGCTATATGGTGAATAATCTAGGGTTTGGAAACGATAAAAGGAATGCATTTTATTTACTCTATTGGTTTGTTCTAGTGCTACATTTTTTCATTAAGTGGATTGTTATTATATGGATTTTGCAACCTTGATTGCCATTTTAAGTTTTAGACCCTAGCTTCAAGCTTTCTCATTTATTTAGGATCACTCACTTTTTATCTTGTGGGTTCAATTAGTTTACTGCAATAAAAGATTTTAGGATTGCACCATATAACACAATATAAACAATTATTTATTCAAAAAAAGTAAAGTAGCATTAACAATGGAATTTTAGAGGGCACATGTTCCTTAAACTGAAGGTCAGATACAAACCTGAACAAAAGTCGCAGGGTCAGAAGAAATATTGAGACAGACCTTAATGCAATCAACAATCTGAGAAACAGAAGTAAGAAAGTAAGCAGTGGTCCATGTCAAATGCATAAAGTCAACAATAAAGAGCATGATAATTGAACAATTAGGGAAAACAGACATTTCATGTCCATTCCCCCAATAATTTCTTATCAAAGACCACTCATGTATTATGCCTAAAGGAAGCAGACCTCAACAGGCAATCAATTATACCACCGAAATTTGTACATTAAATGATGGAGAGATGAGATCCCTCAAACTGAATGAATGATCCTTCATAATGTCATGATGGATAATAAGCATGAACAACTAGCAAGTTACAAAATACCTAAGATCTTTCTTACATGCTACAATGAACAAATGTGCATATTAGTCAAGTTGTAAACAGTCTGATTAGTAATCTCATTACTGTTGTCTCCTTGACAACATGTTGGGTCAAGGAAAAAGCAGTAAAAAACAAGGGAATGTTTGCTCCACAACCACAAGGCACCCTAAGAAAACTTCATTCAGCTCCTACATGCATAACCGTGATAGACTTGAAAAGATATACATCAATCAACTGCTCTATAGAAGTCTCAATCGTAACTGCTATAGCAACTTTGGATCTATGTCATAAAATGATCTGAAGATAACATTAATAATCAAGGAAGAATGAAAACAGAAGAAACACAAAATAACCTGGGTCCTTTTAAGCATTCCATTGGGGTCACTAGTCACAAGCCAACCAAGTCTCCAACCAGGCACTATCCATCTTTTGGATATGGACCCAAGGGTAAGGACAGGAACAATTGATCCAAACACTCCCATCGGCACAAAAGGATTATTCCCAAATGTGAGATGACCATAAACTTCATCCGAAATTACCAGAATTCCAAGCTTTTTTGCAGTCTCAGACACCTAAATACAATCCAGAAGCAGTAATTAACATCACACCCAACTGGGTTCCTTTCCAAGGATGTTAAACAAGAAGTGAACTTCTCAACAGAAATCATGTATATAGACTGCTACTAGATCCAAATACAACTCACCTTCCGCAAGTGCTGATAAGTGAAGACATTCCCACAAGGATTTCCCGGGTTTATGATAACCATAGCAACTGTGTTCTCATCTGCAAGATTTTCAATGGAATCGATATCGACCTCCCAACCCTTTTCAGGGAGAAGATCATAATGACGAATTTCAAGATGATTAAAAGCTGCTCGAGCTTCATACAATGGGAACCCTGGCCTTGGAAGCAAAATATTTGCGCCAGGGCAAGCGAGGACTGATAGAGCAATCTCAATTGCTTGTGTACAACCAAGAGTGAGGAAAACATCATCCGGCGATAACTTGTATGGAAGATCAAGAGAAAGATACTCAGCAACAGCTCTGTTCAAAGAGCAACATAAACACCAATTAAAGGAGTTATTCAAAGGAAAGTTCGCCATCCTTACTAAATGAATGCAATAAAATCTAAACCGACAAGAGAGAGAGAGAGAGAGATGGATTTGATTTATCTAAATCGGTAAATCCTACGCAAATTTCAAATAGATTAAGAAAATACACTGTTAGCTAGCTAAGAGATGACAAAATCATAAATTGCCGATAAAAGAGACAGAATCTGGACAACTTTTCGGACTGAAAGCGTGCAGTCTAAAACTGTGAAAGGCCAATAAAGATAAAAGGCTGGAATAAACCAGAAAGCACACGCGAGAGAGTAGCTTCATCATTAGTTCAAAGTACTCAGAACAAGCTAAAAAAAGCTAGTTATTAATCTCTTGGAAGTACTACTACCTTCTGGCCGGAAGCATTCCAACAAAGGGAGGATAATGATTAAACTTGGCAGAACGAACAGCCTCAACAATGGCGTCTTCGGCAATCTGAGACGTCCGAAAACACGGAAACAGAGAAGGGTCGCCATGGCCGAGCCGAATCATGGGCCTGGGGTCTCCGGCATCGAGAGCAACATCGAGCATTTGGAGAAGGCCTCTAATGGTGATTCCCGTAGATGTAGTCAGGTCCTGGTTCGCTCGAAAACCCCATTTCCTAGACCAGTAGTTCTCCGTCCCCTCCTTCACGTCTTCTTTCGTGGCTCGAACCTGGAGGAATCGTCTTTGTTTTTGCTTTCTTGTGGGATTCAATACTATGAGGAGGAGAAGGAGGAAGAAGAGGAGAAGGGGGGAGAGCGAATGGATAGAGGGATCCCGTTGGAGCATAGTGATAACTCCCGTGGAAGCTCGGTTCTTCATCTGTAGATACGTAGTAAAAGATGGATGAGTGACAAATCCAAACGAACATGCATTTTGTTGGCGCTCCTGGAGCAAGTATGAGGATGACGTGACGACCACAAGAGCACTCTGCACTCCAGACACAGATCGCGTGTTCCATCTTTCATCACAATAAACGGAGTTCTATTTTTATCGTTTTTTTATTGACGACGTTGGATTTGAGAGCTCGCTTACGTAGGGTTGGGATGCAAATGGATCGGATCATTATCCGATTCGATTTTAAACCCAATCTTTTTCACCAGATTCGGATATTTTGGATGGTCCGTTTAAAAATTCGTCGGATCGAATTCGAATCACCCCTTCGATCTTATCTATATATATTGTTGCCGCTCGTATTAGTGAGGACAACGAGGTGAATTCACCCGCAAGTTCCCAAGGCAGGCCAAAGGCTTTGAAGATGCTCCCTTTTCTATACAGTAGAAGTCTAGGACTGCGGGTCGATGGCTCGGTGGCGAGATTCTTGGAGATCCAAGATACTACAAAACAAGAGATGTCAAAGGTCTCGGGTAAAGACCCGAGGCATAGACTCGGATGCTCAAGTTAGTACAAGGTGTGAGGTGGGGGAAAGGTGCAGACGAGGTCTCTATGGTAGTCCTCAGAAGTCCCCAAGAGTAAATGCTAATGAAGCGATGTAGGTGCAAGAATTTAATTCAAGGCACTGGAAGTAAATGAGGGAGTTGTACCAGAATTCTGGGACCTGGATCCCTTGTCAAGGGAGAGTTACCTCATATTTATACTTGAGCGAGTTGGAGGCAGTTAGAGATGAACACACCAGATGAGAGCCATACGAAATCAGACGACATGTCCTTGCGAGTACACCTAACTGCTCCGCGGTTGGCTTCGTACGAAGGAAGGAGGGCTTCCCCCCATGTTGTGGCTAGTGTTGTCAGGCGTTAGTGGGTTGGGCCTCCCAGACCATAATGGGCTAGGCCTGGCTAGCCCACATCACTTGCCCCCCACTCCCGAGGCCGAGGCGAGGTCTTGACTTCGGCTAGTAATGGAGATGATGGTTGAGGTAAGGCCTTGGCTTCGGTCGTTGAGAGTAGTGATCGTTATACCTTCGGGTTCGTCAGCCGAGGGGTATTCTGCAATGGTGTCACTTTCACTTCGTATGCGTCTTCCCTCCTCATCGATTCGGAGATGCGTGTGGCATGGATGCCTTGGGTTAGTGGGGATGGTCTGTATCACATACGACTAGGTCGTGTCAGGGGTCCACCATGAGGAGGACGGTCACCTAGATAGGCACGCGTTTTTCGGGCTGAGCGGTTCGCCCGGCGATTTGCGACGGGTGAGCCTCGCGGTTCGCCTAGCGTCGTTTCGTCTTCCGAGGGCACGTGTTGAGAGATGCGGTAAAACTAGTTTGCAAAAGTGGAGGGTCCCTATGACCGTCGGATCCGTAGTGATCTGAGTCATTGCTTGGGCATCGTTTCGTCTTCCGAGGACGAGTGCCAGGTGGTGCATTATGGTTGGATGGTGGAAGTAGAGGTGCCTCAGCCGTCGGATCCAGCGAGATATGGGTCGTCCGTTTTCCTTTAAATAGGAGCCCTAGTGGTGACTTTCGCCATCATTTGAACTTAGGCACCCTTGCTGTTGAGTGAACTAAACTCCTAAGTTCTCAATCCTTTAGGACATTCCCAGGTTCTCAATCCTTCAAGGCGCCTCGTCTTCACCTTCTTCACCATCTAGGTAATTCATGATGTCTTTCTCAGACTCTAGCCCTGAGTTCCATGAACTCCCGAATACCTCGGGAGGGAGCTCTCCTCAAACCCCTTCCCCTCTCTCCTCCTTAGGTTCTTTGGCCATAGCCCCTCTTCGGCGGGAGATAGAGGTATTGAGGGAAAGGGTAGCCTCTAGGGGCACTGAGGGCTACTGCCGGGGCAATGACTCTCCCCATGAAAGCGTCGCGTCGGCATCATCAAGGGAGCTCGAAGGGTCTCCTCTAGCCGAGGAGGAGGATGTTGTAGAGCTCACCGCTGGACCGGTGGAAGGGAGCGCTGCCTGAAGGGTGGCTGACGCTGGTGTCCAATGCTTGGAGTTTGACAGCTCCTTGGATATGGGCCAGGTCAAATCTCTGGCGAGGAGATTCCATGTACCCCGGTCCTATGATCTCAAGGTTCCTAACATAGGTGATCGACCGTGGACCCCTGACAAGGGGGAAATCTGTGTTTACCAGTATTTTTTAGAGTATGGCCTTAGGTTTTCCCTCCCTTCCTTAGTTTCTAAGTTATTGGAGTGGTACGGTATCACCACCAGTCAACTCGTCCCTAATGCCCTTAGGACCATCATGGCGATGATAATGTGGGCTCGGCTTCAGGACATGGAGCTAACATTAAAAATGTTTTGTGCCATGTTCGCGCCGAAGAAGCACACTTCCGAGGCCAACATTAATTACTTCCATCCCTGAAGAGGGAAGCCAGTGCACAACCCATCATCCGTCCATGGGTGGAAGGACAAGTTCTTCTACGTCTCCTGCCCCGAAGGCTGGAGGTTCAGGTCTGGCTAGGGGGAGGTCTGTGTAGTCATCGAAAGATGTCCCCCTCCGCTCCGAGACAAAGAGGTTGCTGCCGTGGCTCATCTGCTTGTGATGGGGACATTCCAGGCGAAGCTGTTGGTGGAGAAGGAGGTCCCCCTAGTGTTCGTTGGGATTAGCCCTGCCCCCCTCGGTAGGAGAGGTTTTGTAGTTACTTCGCTCGCCTTTCACATCTTCGGCTTGTTACACTGACTGTCTTATTTTGTTGTTCACAAAGGTACCAATGGACACAAAGCAACGACTGCTCGAGAAGGCTCGCGTGAAGCAGGCTGGGAAGAAGGCCAGGGCATAGACACCGAAGTGGCCTGGTGAAGAGGTTGCCCCCTGTCTCGGTGAAGGGGGGAAATCAACAAGTCCCCACCAAGGGGAAGCAACCGGTGGTGGTGCCCCAGCAGCTCGCCGGTGGGGTCAGGAGGCCCTCAGAGGGGGCCAAGAAGTCAGTGGAGGTGCCAAAGAAGCTAGCCGAGGGGGCTGAGGTGCCGAAGAGGCCCACGGAGGGAGCCGAGATGGGTTGGAAGAGGCCTTCCGCAAACACGCCATGGGAGGAGCCGCTACGGAAGGTGGCCAACATTGAATGCCCGACGGAAGAGGTGGCAAGGAGATCCGTGCCCGGGGTGATCTTGCCAAGGGACCGCTACCGCTTGTTGCTGAGTGGCCCCAAGGCCATCTATGATGAGGGCCTGTACCATCTGGCCGAGGTAAGACATATATTTTTTATTATTATTTTTCTACTGCTTTATATCTTATGTTTTTCCTCCTTTGTTTACTAACTGGCTCTGTTGCAGGCCTACCTACACTTCGTTAGTTTGGGGGACTAGACAAGGCTGGCGATGTCCCGCATCGACAAGCTGGAGAAGGAGAAGGACAAGCTCCAGAAGTTTGCTGAGGAGAAGCTCCAAAAGGAAAGGGAGAAGCTCCAGAAGACAGTTGCTACTGCCAAAGAAAAATATCAAAAGTTTAGGAAGGTGTTCTTGGACGAGCAGTTAGTTCAGGAATGCCTTGAGATATAGATGAAGGAGGCGCGGCAAGGTCTTTCCAAGGAGTAGATGGAAAGAGTTCGTCTAGAGAACATTATCTCCGAGGGGGAGAGGCGAACAACCAAGGCTGAAGGAAGGGCTGCCGAGGCCGCGGCATTGGTGGAGAAGGCTAATAAGGCAACAACCGAAGCAATGGAGGCATACAAGAAGTCCTCTGAGTATCTGGATGCGCTCGCGGAGTATGTGTCAGCATCCTACCTCGACGGGATTGAAGACACGAAGAAGGCACTCCTGCATGTGATGCTAGATTTTGACGTCGAGGGGCTGCAGGTGATTCCAGATGCTCCTAACAAAGCCCAGGCTGTTGATGACTCCGCTCCTCCTACTAGTGGCAAGGCCTAGGCATGGATCCCCCCCTTTTTCTTTTTGTTTTGTTGTTGTGTTGTTTCCTTTTCTTCTCTTTTTTTTGTGAATGTACATATGCTTGGCCTATGAGGCCTTCAAAAAACTTTTTGTAAAGGCAGTATAGGAATACAATGATGAATGAAGCCAATTTTTGTATATGATGTGCCTTTTGTATGTTGTTTTCTTCTCCTTCTTCTTTCTTCTTTTTTCTTCTCCTTCGAGAGGTCCTTGCCTCTCCAAACAATGGGATCACAACACACAAAAACACGTACAGTTCGTTCATAGCTCGTATAGTTTGCTTGCACGCTCACTTTAAGTAGTTAGGGAATTGGGAGACAAGGCGGAGCCACACGTTCGAAGAGAGGCTGGCTCAGCTCCAGAATTCCTTTAAGTGTTAACTTAGGCAAGGCTGAGGTGATATGGCACCGTAGCCGAGGTCGTTGGCCGAGGTATATCGTCGAGGTACTTAGGAGGATGAGGAGCCGAGGTGGAGCGACACTATCGGGGTGCAGTTCACCTGGCTTGTTTCCCACCAAGTGTTTCCTCAGGGGAGGCCGAGGCATCACACCGGTGAAACTGGGGGCTCGAGCCGAGGCGAACCACCGAGGCAATCAGGGTTGTTGTGCTAAGTGTAGGTAGCCAAGGGGGGTCATCGTCCTCTACGGAGGTAACGAGGCGTGTAGGGCCTCGTTCGCCTTGGCGTGCCGAGGGGGCCACCGTCCATCAAGGAGGTGATGAGGCATAAAAGGCCTCGTTTGCCCTGGCCTACATGCTTTTGGCGAGGTGCTCGTCCTAGGGTCATCACAGTCTTTTGCATCATTTTGTACTGAGCGCTCATCCCTTAGAGGAGGGCTTCGCGCGTTGGCAGGTCACGAAGCCGAGGGTTCTTTTAGGACTTAGGACACACATTTATTCAACATTTGAAGCGAAGAGGAACTTTTGCTTCATTCATTCATCACTTAGCCATAGGCAATTACATTTATTGAAAGTACATTCAAAGGTTCTCCAAGTTCCATGTCCGGGGGATGGGTCTTCCATTCAAGTGTTCCATGTGAAATGTTCCGGGGCCGAGGACGCGTTTGACTTTGTAGGGCCTTCCCAGTTGGGGCCCAGCTTTCCTACTCCGAGTTTGGGGACAATGACCTTTTTGAGGAC